TGACAAGAGTTGATCATGTCGCTGGTGGTAGAACTTTTCCTTCTATGACCATAACATATTCTATAGTTGACTGTTATGTACTTTAAATAATCACAAATAAAAGTAGTATAACAATACAAACATAATAGCAACAGTATAACAAAGAAACAAACCCTTCCTTCCCACTTCTTTGCTTCTTGCTTCTGAACTGGAAGGTACAGACACAGCTGCCATGCTGTGTCTGTAATCAGTGCTTCAAATCCTTTGGAGCTACATTCATGTTACAAATGCTGTTCAGTGATGGAATGTAAAAGATACTAAGGAAAATCCCATGAGAACAGGAAAGCTTTCTATTAACGATTTTTGCTCAGGTTTTAGCAACAGAGAAAGCTAGTCAGAGGAGTTGTATGAGTTCCCTATCTTGTTCTATGCTATGGTTATGCATTGCTAATGTATTTGTAGCATGTTGCTTGCTATTCATTATGCTGTATAAATTTCACAAGGGTCTTGCAAAATAGTGTTATACCTGAACCAGTTCCATTGCAAAAAAGGAAATCTCTTCAATCATTATTGGGCTTCTCTGTTGCAACAAGTTGAGATAAAGTGATCAGAGCAGTAACCTTCTGACTTTCTCTAAGGCTCAACTGCATTATAATATTTAATAATAATAATAATAAACAAAAAGGAAAGAAGGGAAGGGAAGGGAAGGGAAGGGAAGGGAAGGGAAGGGAAGGGAAGGGAAGGGAAGGGAAGGGAAGGGAAGGGATGTGTGTCCTGAATGAAAGGTCTGAAATATGTCTGAAATCCTCATTAATTGAGGAGAACTGCACACTTCAAGGAAGAAAAAAAGGAGTAACTACATAGAATGAGAACAAAATTCTTTCAGACTTGATACTTATACCTCGGGAATGCGCAATGTGGCAGGGAAATTCTTCTAGTTTACATATGTAGAAGATGTTCTGCATCATGCTTTGACAGTGGATCCTGTCATAGTTTTCACATATGAATTTCTGTGACAAAAATAAGCAATCCCTTCCAGGTAATATGTTATAGGCTAAGAGAAGAGTCACTGAAAGGCAATGTGTATCTCACATACAACTGCCTTCCCTTCCCCTCTCCCTTTGATTTAGATTTGCACTTGTAGAATACCCTAATAAGCATGGAGATGTCAGTAACAAAGTTTGCATTTGCACATAACATTTGAATATTTTTCTCACCTGACAGGGTGGTGCCTGACTTTACTGCAAAAGATTATAAGAATATTTAATTGTGATTTTCCAAGTGATTTTTTTGCTTCTGGAAAACAAATAGAACATCAGCAGGTTTCTGACAGTAACTGTCTTGCTTTTTACTTCATCTTTGTTTAGATTTGTATACCTGAATTACCTATACAAGTCTCAGATTTTCCTTTAAGGGCAATAGGTCTCAGGTTCTAGCCTGTGTGTATGTTAAAATTCAAGACAAATGAAAATGTGCAGTAATATTTTAGAAGCAAAGGGCATGTGATAAGCCTGGGTAATATTTGGCAAAATGTTTTTCATCCTCTTTGTGCCCAAATGTTTTAGACAGTGGCATAGAGGAGTAGGCTGTGAAAACAAATAAGTTTCTGGGAAAGATACATTGATGGGATTGTTTTGGGATGGGATGAACAAAAGCAGCACTTTATTCTTGTCTTACACACATGGCACAACATACAGAACCAGCACAAATAACTTACAAAATCTCATACACCATGCTTCCTCTCGAACAGCTTCTATTAAGTTACAACACCATAACAAATAAGGTATTTAGTTACTACAGATCCCCAGTCTCCATTTAAGGAGTTGTTATTTTTTGTAAACTACTTAGACAAACTTTTTTTTTTTTTTTTTTTTTTTTTTTTTTACATGTTTAATACAGTACAGTATCCTTGACAGAGTTCAAGATATTCACAATACGAATTGAATGCATTACAAAGCAGCAGAATTTCTTATCTCGGGACAGGTCTTCATTTGCTCCTGTCTTGTCTTAACAAGTCTTCTTTATTTTTAACAAGTCTTCTTTACTCAACTTTCCAAGCTAAATATTACATTAAATGAAAAAAGTTTGCTTCCCCTTGCGTTCAATTATACATACATATATATATATATATATATATACACACATACATATATATATATATATATATATACACATACATATATATAGAGAGAGAGAGCTTCCCTTTCCCATTCCTACCCCTTGCCATACCAACAAATGCCATTTAGCTGGTAGAAATGTTAATGCTCAGGCTTCTCTAAAAAAAGTTTAAAACAATTTTGAAAACAATTTGTTAGATGGAAAATAAATAGTGCTAGTAGGCCATCATTAACTTTAAAAGTTCAGTTTTTTTCTCCTTGTCAGAATCTGTGTCTGTTGGAGATTCCTGTCATCTGATTTTCTGAGATATTGTGTTACTAATGGGCCAGTGCACAAGATCTATGTTTTATTTGTTTGTTTATTTCAGTTACCAACTGAATTGCCAGCTGTCTCACCCATTTGATACAATCACTTTTAGTATAAAGTACTATCCTTACCAGAAATATTAACAACTCTAGTCATATAATGCTGTCTAAAATTCTTCCAGCTACTATTAAGCCTCTCTCTGTTAGTAGCCTCATTGTACCAGGCTGATTCACAGGAAGAGTTTTACTCTGTGATCGCATTTCAAACCCCACTGAAGCTTGTGGGCATCATTCCTTCGACTGTGTGGCTTTGAATTGCACTTTGTTCAACAAGGTTGCAAATCTAGCCCTTGAGAAGATAATCAGCTTTCAAAAGAAATAAGAAAAAAAAAAAAAAAAAAAAAAAGATTCTTCTCCTTTATATATACAATACACTTTCTTTTTATACATTGAGCATTATCTTAAAAAGAATGTTTATGTCATTTTGAAAATGAATTTTTGCAGAACTTTATGAACACTGTTATATTAAACACATTCTCAAAAACTGAAGAAATTACTCACACAAAATCTGAAAGAGCCTCAATAGAATTCTTCCAGTATAATTTTTCTACTTGCATATTTCATATTTCAGTGTCTTTTACTGCAAACATAATTTGGGCATATGAGAACAGGGAGAAGTCAAAAGTTGTGAATAAGACCTGAATCTTCTGTTTAATGTGTTTAATGAGACTAATGTAACATTGAAAATGATTTGTTGTTGCTGTTGTTGTTTGGTTGCTTTTATTTATTTTTTGTTTGTTTGTTTAAATTCCATTCTCCTGTTACCTTTCCATATATTGTGTGGCACCTTAATTTCCAAATAGCCTCATTCATTTCAGTGGGAATACAAGTGGAAAAATGATGTATGCAAAAATAGTGAAAATTGTTTTCCACTTTTTAAATGAGTTGTCAGTGGTTATATCGTAACATCATCATATACTTGTTTACTTTAGTGTAATAAAAAAATGACATCTGAGCAGTATTTTCGAACTTCAATATCAGAAATCAGTGTACAAACATTATGAAATAACTGCATATATTTGTGCTACAGTTCTGACAGCCTAACTATATATTAGGTATGACCAAGAGTGAGTTTCATAAGCCTAGATCTTTTATACATATCATCATCTTTTTTATACTTTATATTCCCATAGACTGGCACAAATTAAGTTTAAGCACACATATGTCACGCAAACATGAAGCCATGACACCTTTATCACCAATTTTCAGTGCAATTAATAGTAGACATTAATGCATGTCATCTAAGTGAAATGCACTTTTCCAGTCCTTTGTCTAACAAAATACTGTATAAATCATAGCGTCAACTTGATTTCCTGTACTGAAAATATCTAAAAATGCACTAATTTTTGTTTGTTTGGAGCAATCTTTCTGACTGTAGTGACATAAGTTCAGGAAGTTAAACAAATGAATGAGATTTTGTACTCTGTCTCATGACTTTCTTTCTCTTTTTCATTTAATGAAAAAAAAAAAAAATCAAAAGGAGAAGTAATGTTTCCTGTATAATAATAATAATAATATTAGTAATAATAATAATAATAATAATAATAATGTATATAATAATAATAATGTATTGTAATACATTAAATGTAACTATAATTATTGAAAGATCAGTGACAATAGTATCCTGAATGCTTCTTTGTCTCAGGGTAAGTGCTTTCACTTGGCATGAACTGAAGGTTTAATACTTACTAGAGAAAAAATGTAACCCATGCCTAATCCCAATTACTAACATATATAGTCACTTGTAAAGGAGCCCTTTAGACAAGACAATATACATTAACTTACTTGATGATTTATAGAATGTGTCTATTTTAGTCGCTGTAATAAAACAGGATATATATACACATATTAAAAAATCCAAGTGTAAATAATTCTACAGTATTTCCACACATAAAACAACTAGTTGCACTTGATGTAGTATTTAAAGCAAGTCACTGAAAATTTCTTCAGTCTTTGGAATGATCAAAGTATAAATAACCAAAACATACAAATAATGATTGAATTTTCATAAAAGAAGGTTTATGAGAGAGGGACAAAAATAATGCCCCTCTTATTCACTGTCAATCCCCATTGTGTTTATAGACTCAGCGCCTTCTCAGAATAATTGTAGAATCATAGATTAAGCTGCAGTTTTTTTTCTTTGATCTAGCAGTATACTTTAATGAGGTTATCTTCTTCTGGGTAACAGTACTAATAAGGTTTCTAGTGACTTTTTCATAAAACTTAGTTTGTTCTTGTTGAAGATTATACTGCTTCAGACATTTTAGGCTATGTAAACTACAGGAAAATGCTAATCTAATTAAGTTAAAGTCTAATGAAATATAAATTACTTTATTTTTTTCTGAAAATTTAGTTACCTTCTATTTTGATAATTCAATCCAGTTTTTTATTTCCCCACCCTCCCCCCCAAAAAAGTCTCGTAGTTACAAGCCTGCAATTACAGATAGCAAAGAAAGAAAACTGCTACTTGCCTATGGAAATATATATAGTTTTTTTTTGTTTTTTTTTTCTTTCAAGTTCTAACCCTGCTCTGAGCTGCTAACCATCACACAACATATGCCATTTGGCAATTTGTCTCCTAGGATACTCACAGATTTCTTTCCAGTGTTCTCCACCTGTTCCTTCTGCTGAAGATCCTAAGGTTAACCGACCAATGACCTCATTCCTTGACCCTCTATCTGAATCTAAAACCAAAAATTCAATGCTGATATCATCAAGGCCCTCACAAGGAATGTCAAAGACAAACAATTCATTGAACACAGCATTGGGGGTACACTTCTTAACATGGGTTTTCTTTTTAGAAATTCTCTTCTTAACATGGTACAGATTCACTTTGACATAAGGATCTGCAATAGAAAGAAATAACACAAATAAGATATTGAATTATTTAGAAGTTCCTTGTTCTAGTTCTTGGTAAACTTTTTAACATACCAAGGGAACTACATCACAGTGATGTTTCAGTCTACTAAAGATGATTTTCTTCATCTAGTTTTGTTTGTTTGTGTGTGTGTGTGTGTGTGTGTGTGTTTAATTCTGAATTAGTTCCTTTAAGCTCCATTTACGGATATCAAAATATGTAATCAAGATTTAGGTAATGTCTTATTTGTATTATGCAGGTGTTTCTTTCACAAGACATGTAGTTTGTTAACTTTGTTGATTATATCTCTGTTGCTTCAAAAGGTAGTGTGAAAGATGATAAATTTCCAATGTATTCTGAGAAATGTGAATCACTATGTAATTAAATGTAATAGAAATCTGTTTTTTACACATTCTACAAGTAGGAAATAATCAGTATTAATAAGGCTCAAACAATAAAATGTCAAAAGTAAGAGAATAATCTTGTGCTGAGAAAAATGGACATAATTTATTTCTGGTTTGATTGTACTAAAATTAATTATCTTGAATAAATTTCTCCCACATCTTTTTACTAAACAAATTTAATGTTAAACTTTAAATATAAGACTACATTTACTGGCTGTATGTGGTTTGTCTTTAAATATATTATATGTTATTGAGGAAGGGAAGAGAAATAGTCCATAATATTAACGTTGTTAATAAACACTGAATGTTTGTATCCTTCAGAATTTTTCAACTGTTGCAAGATTCCTTAACTACTGTCTTCAATAATGGCTATATTTCTCCTTTAGAGGAATTAAAAGAAAAAAAAAAAAAAAAAAAAAAAAAAAAAAAAAAAAAAAAAAAAAAAAAAAAAAAAAAAAAAAAAGTAGAAATGATCAGTTTCAAGTACTAATTTTGCATTTATATATGTGTTTAAAATTAATGTGGACTGGTGTCCAAATCCTAATGGTTCAAAGATGCAATGAAAATTCCAGTCTATGGAAGTCAATCAAGTGAAATAGTCTACATAAGCAGTCCACTAATAAACATAAGAAACAATTATGCTGCTTATTTATTTATTTGTTTGTTTGTTTGTTTGTTTTTCTAGTGAAATTCTAATTTAACCTTATTTAGAAAATCCATACTCTAGTTATCAGAATAAAGGGGTCAGATGATGAAAAAGTTTTTGTTTGCTTGGACTCACAGCAGTTTCATGGGAGAAAAGTGCATCTTAACAGAAATAAACATATATATTTTTTAAAATAGAAGTTTTATTTATTATAAATTTTTCATTAGCTTGGAATGAATATCCACCATACAAGCTGTAAGAATATCAAAATCACTAGCCATCAGTAGATTAATAATGTTGTCTATTTCTTTTGAAATAAATTTTTTGACTGCTACTTTTGGCTAAGTAATAAGACTGGAATGTTGCTTTTGATTTTATTAGGCCTATTAGAAGATCTCAACATCCATATCTCTTGATGTGAGAAGTAGAAGTACAGTATTATTGGCTGCAGTAATTAAAATTAAAAGGCTCCAAAAACTGCTTCCTCTTTCTTTCAAAATATCCTGTGCATCAAAAGAATCAAGGCTTATACAGACTCAATACAGATGATTTACTGTTTGAAGTCCTCTGTTGGGTACTGTTTTTTTTTTCAGTGTGTATGTTTGTCTTCTTTTCAGTATACTTTATTTTGAATTTTATTAAGTTATCTGACATTAGCATGCACCTAACTATAGTTCTAACATCAGCTTCAAAGGAAGATTTATTATTTGCAAAATGGTACAAGAGTAGAAGACTGGAGTTATAAAAAAACTCCTTTTTTAGTGTATCCCAAGCAATGAAATAGTTCACCTTTCACCTTGCCAAATAAACATTAATACCAGTGGACTAAATTCAACACAGACGTAATTTGTTGCCTTTTGGATTCAAAGCTGAAATATTCCATATAAGAATTTCACTTGATATTGATTAGCTAATAATAAACTGAATTTCTTTGTCATATTCAAAAGTTTTAATATCTGCAACATCTTCTTATGACAGATGGATCCTGTTCTAGAGAGTGACAAAACTCATTGGCCTCCACTGCCAACTGATGTCATGTTTCTTTGTATTTTTTTTTTTATTTTTCCCTAATGTGATTGAAGAAATTTTTAATATATGTTCTCTGAAAAAATAAAACACCGACCTAGATATAAATGAAATGAGTAGGCTGCAGATAATACAGACACCACTTCCTCATTTCTGGGTTATTTTTAATCTTTGAAATGTCACATTTCAGTTGTCTTCTGTCTGTTTGTTTTATATTCTTCAGGCTTATTCATTACTGAAAACATTACCTGATAATCCTGACACATCAGATTTAGGTAGATGTCTGGCTTTTAAAACAACCACAGTTAGTGTGTTTGTTGTAGATTGATAACAGAGAGAGATCAGTAGTTCTCCACGTCCAGACGACTTCTGAGGAAATTAAAAGAAATAAAAAAGAAAAACTATTTATGAGCAGTTATGTTGACAGACTTTGAAACTAGATTGAATAGGATTTCTGCACTGTTGCATAGTTATGTATCTCAAACTGGTGTCAAAAGATATAATTCATGGAGCTGTGATGCTTAGCAAATAAAATATAATTTTCCTTTATATTGTAGTTATATAACACCTCCTATATCTTGCTATTAGAGTTTGAAATAAATAAATAAAGTTGTGAAAATATGTATTGACATGACACTGTTAGCTTCAGAGATAAGTGAAATCCTATATCCTGTAAAAAAATAGTCTCAGTGTAAGTAAAATGTCTCAAGAAAAATAAATAAGAAACTGTATGAAAAGAATTTTGAAAAACAAATTGAATAAAATTTATTCACAAAAAGAAAAATAGTAAAATATTTTTAGTCATGCTATTAATGTAGCTCATTAGTGAAAGAGTCATTTATTTCACAGTAAGGAGGGAGCCAATGGAAATAAGAAATGAGAATATTTTATGTATCAGAAAATCCACTAACTTGTCAGCAAAATATGAGTGACATAGTTATAATTGCAATACAATGAAAGAATTGCAAAATAACCATATTAGTTATAGGTGTGTTGTCTGGCAGATGATTAGTTGATTTGTCAGCATGCTTCGTCTTTGGAAACAATCAAATTGAAAGTCAATATACAAGCTACTTTGTTAGTAGAGAATAAAAGAAGTGTGCATGATTCATATGCATTTTCATGGCTCTGTGATTGTTGTAAATGATCTTTCTATTCTGAAATGAGACAAAAAGATATGAAATATTTTTAGCCTAGTGAAATCAATATGTTTTTCCACTGACTTTGCTGTGGTTTTAACATCTCCCTCATATCTTAGTATCTTTAGAAGAAATGCAGCTTATTTAAAAGTCATTGAGAAGAAAAAAAGCATGATTTAAAATCCAAAAGATGAAGAAAGAGTATAATAATGTATGAATTTTTGCATTCTTTCACATCAATGCAAACTAAAATGGATTTAGGCCTCTTCACCTAATGTGAATGGATCCACTAAAACATGCTGATCATCTGATTAAGCAAGTAGAATTTACAATTCTAACATTTTCTTGCAAAATGCTTATTTTAACTTTATTTTATTATCATTGTGCAGTTGTTTCCTTATACTGCCCTAGTGAAAAGACCTCAGTAGTTCATTTGATAAACTCGTTCCCTTCTTTTCCCAGGATGCTATCAATATTGCTAAAGTATTATAGTTAAGCTAGTACAACACTTCTAAATTTTAAATAAGAAATATGTTACCCTAACATTTCTTTTGATGATCTCTCTGTCCATTAGCATCCTTCCTTCTGACAATTCAGTTCCTGCAAGGGGAATGAGGACTTCTCCAATGACGTCATCTCTGGAAAACCTGTCAAAGCTCAAGATCATAAAATGAAGTGTTAAGTCTTGAATTTGGCTATAGGGGATCCCATAAAACGTGAAGGTCTCATCAAAAGCAGGATCTAAGGTTTTCCTCAGCACTCTGGTTTTCACCTTGTGCTTTTTCTCAGGAAGGATTGTCATTTTGATGTAGGGATCAGAAGTCATTGACTGTTCATCCATTGCTGGCAGCCCACGTGCTTCCTTGATGCTCACTACAAATGCCTTTTTCTCAAAGTTGTACTCTAAAGAGAGAAAGAGAGTTCCTAGCTTGTCTTGTTTTTCTTCAGATGACAGGGATGTAGTGGATTTTAAACTATCAGGGGAAACTGAATCTTTCTTCTTTTCTGAAAAGTGCTTTGAAGATGAATTTTCAGGGTCTGGAGAACTCTGCATTTTAGAGGTTGTTTTCGGAAAGTTGCCATTTAGATCTCTGTTCTCCAGGTCAAGATGAAGAGAATTCTTTGGCATTGCTGATTTGCTCTTTGCTTCACTTTTATCATCTACTCCAAACTTCTTCTTACTGTTGAGATTCTCAGGATAAATATCAACTCCCTTCAGAACATGGACAAACTTATATGGAGGAGTCTTATTAGATTTGGATGATTTGCGCTGACAGCAGATCCAAGCAAAAAGGGAGACAGAGAAGACAAGGCCAAATGCACTAAAGATCCCAACAACTGTAGGAATTTCATCTGCAAGTCAAATAAACAGCAACAAGCAAATAAGCAGGAATTTCTTCTTCTCTGTGATATTTAGTAAATTTAGCAAAGTAAACTAATACGAAACGGTAATAGGAGCAGTTGACAGACTGAAAGTGCTCTGCATTGCACGCGTTGTTCGCCACCTGCAGGCGTAAATGTGTAGTCCCATGCTGTTAGTATTTTTCCATACAAAAGATGTCTGGAAGGAAAATACAGTTCCCACCCCACTAATAATTAAAATGAATAATTTCTCAGCTATTTTATCACTCTGTGTGTAATTTCTGAGTTTAAATGTCAATGAACAAAAATAGATAAGGTTTTATCTTTGAGTTTATGGAATTGTATTTGTTAGATAGAAGAATTCTGATATATTTGTTACTTATATCATCTGCTTTTCACAGTTTCCTAAAATGCTTTGTACACTCAACTAACTCAGTTTTATGGTCTGATCCCATAATTGCCTGGAAGTATCTATTGAAACTGACTTTTTTCAGGAGGTTGTAAGACTCAAGAGTTTCAATAGGATTTTCAGTACATTCCAGGAGAAAGTCTATCAAGAAAAACTGCAGTAATTACCTGCCAAGTGTCCTCTCCAGATGGATTTGACATTTGGCAGTTGCATATGAGTCCAAAGCTGAAATACTCTTAAGTGTATCTTTGACACCCACCAAGCTTTGAATCTGAGAATCTATGAATCAAAGCTATGGAAAGTATACAGGATGGATCACTTCTTAGAGTGTATAAGAGAAACATTAAAATGTAATTTACCTTGAAATTAATCCTATATTTAAAATCTGAATGAAGAGAAAACTATCTAGGTGTTTCAATCTCAACTGTCATGTGAATACTTAAGTAGCATACTGAATCATTAGCCATTCAGAAGAATGCATTGAAGGGGCAAATGAGCACAACTAATTGGAAATCCAATTTTGCCCATAAGTAACATTACTAAGTGAGTTTAAGCCTCCCACAGTAACAATAAGAGCTTAATCTTTATTCTCTGAACTAGTAGACTAGTAGAATATTAATGGAATGACATTGTTTATGCATAAATCCAATTGCATTACAGTTCCTGTAACAAATAATTAGCAGATCATTCTGAGTGATGAAAGCAAAACTATCCTCCTGTACACATTACTAAACATGCTTTATCTAGGTAAAACCTGGTCTAATAGATGTGCTACCATCATAACTTTGAGTTTGAGTAAAAACAAAAACAAAACAAACAAGCAAACAAAACAAACAAACAAACAAAAAACAACATAATATTATCAAAGAAAAGTAGGGCAAAATGTTGCAGAACAGAAAGTGTAAGGTCTTGCTATTAATTTCTTCTGACAATAAATGTCACTTCTGCTTACAAGCTGTATAAATCTATGTTTAATTGTAAGAAGTCAATAAATGACTGAAAAAGGTAATCAGAATTAA